TTTATGACTTCTTGAAATACGGTACTCAGATTTTTTTCTGTCCTTATATTTTTTTCTGAGATGCAGATGCTTCTTATATTACCCCTTTGAATCCTGTCTTCCAGGTCAGTTATTTTTGATTGAACATGGAATTGTACATGGAATTTTTACTTTGTTCTAATAATGCTTGTTATATCATTGCATTTTTTTGTTCTTCTGATACCTTTGTTTTTCAATGTGTCAACTACTTTTTAATTAAAACTTTGTGTTCATTCTATCTTTCAATTTTTAAAATAGACCATCTAGTCTCTCTTGGAGCTCTTGTAGTGATTCCATTTTCCTTTCTGAAATTCTCCTAGTAATCATAGCAAATTTATTCTGATTTTTAAGAAATTTTAGCCCTATTGTTTCTTGCTTTGTTATTTCCTCAGTCCTGTATTAATATCCTTCATAATATGTATCAAAACAACATACAATTCACCAATTGTGGTCTGGGCAAGTTATAGCCAAAGATTGTAGCAGTTCTTTTGGTTTCTGTATAATGCTGTTGATTCTGGTTGTACTTACAATCTACTCAACATTGCCCGCGCCCCCACCCTTCTCAGATAAACAGCTGTCTAGCCACACTTTTTTCCCATTGAATAGATGTGAAGTTGATTTTTGAACCCAATGTAAGACTTACATGATAACCCTTTTCAATTTCACCTTAGTGGATTTAACTCAATGCCCTAAGCTATTAAGGTCTTTTGGGATCCTGATTCTGTCATTCAATATGTTTGCTATGTCTCTGAATTTTGTGTCATCTGCAAATTTGATAAATGTGCTATTCATGCCGCTATTCCAAATCACTGATATAAATGTTAGCACAGAGTCAAACACAGATCTCTAGGACACTCCACCATAGACCAATCACCTTCCAATTTGACATAAAGCCATTAATAACTGCTCTTTGAATACAGCCATTCAAACAAAGCTGAATGTAGTCACATTAGCTAACTCACATCTCTATATTTTTTTGTGACTTGAACTCATCACAAGTGCAACTAAATATTCTCTTACATTCTCCTTACTTATCTTGCATAAAACTTGCTATTAGCTATTTTTGTTCTATCCCTTCTAGCCCCAAAATAATTTACCACCACCAGAAAACAATAACAAAGTAAGATTTCAGTACCATGGTCTTCTTGCCATCATGTCTTATCATCATTTCATCCACTCTGAGCAATGATACTATCTCTTCTTTGATCTTCCTTTCTTGAGGCATCTTTTGTTGTTGTTGCTTTTTTTTTACCGGTCAATGGAGTTAAGTGACTTGCCCAGGGCCTCACAGCTAGTAAGTGTCAAGTGTCTGGTCTGAGACCGCATTTGAACTCAGATCCTCCTGACTCCAAGGCTGGTGCTCTATCCGCTGCGCCACCTAGTTGCCCTGATCTTCCTTTCTTTTCCAATAAAAAAATTCTTTCTGATGGCCTCACTTTCCTTGCCAACCTCAGTTCTTACCGACCTCTAATGTTCTTGACACTATTCATACAAAATTGTGCCATGATTTTCTAATAATCTTCAAATACCTATCCTTGATCCCATTTCTCTCTCTTTTTTAAAAATTTTAACTTGACCAATGTGTTCCTTGTCGTCACATTTTTGTGGTCTCTTTAAACAATTTACCCCTTTCCTCACCACCAGAATTGTTTTTCTCTTTGTATTCCCAGAATTTCATGGTTCAGAGCTTCCCATTTCTCTCCTGGACTGATTTCTGTAGAATTTTAAGCCATAAAATTCTATCTGTCGTTCCTCTGAACCCCTACAAAAGTCTGTATTTGTGTTACACTATGTCCAGGTTTCCTTTTGTTCTATGTGACAAATACAAGATGGAGTGGTCACTTCTACTATATCATGTCTTTGTGCTAGACTTGTGATCTATTTCACTGACTCCTCATGTATTTCCTCTTTCTTTCTAGGTAGTCTATAGCATTTGTAAATTTCTGTGTACAATATTTCTTCTCATTCTTTCCCTGTTGATCTCCAAAATGCTTTCCATTTTGCTTCCCTCTTTTGGTTCCTAATTTAATTCTGAGTCTATTTGTCTTATGTTACTACTTGACCCCTGAACTCGTCCTTCCCTTTCAGATCTCCCAGAGTATTTTATCTTGTGATTCTCTAATGCACTTATCACGTAATGCTGCGTATTATACTCATCTTTGTGTCTTATCTCCCTGCTAGACGGTAAGTTTTCTGAGGAAGTGGACCATATCTTAGGAATAAACACCGTATCTTCCTCAGCATTTAGCCGACTGCTCTGAACACAGGACGTGCTTATGTCGTGTTTACAGGATTGGATTTCAGTTTAGCATAGGCACACCTGGGGAAATTTGTTGTTGTTAGCCTTCTTGGATATTGTAAGGTCTGGAATTTCCCCACGTAGGGAACTCTGTACCTCCCTCCAAACAGTGGGACAAATTTGATACCAAAGGAAGAGGCCAAGGAGCTCTAGATTGATTATGGATAGTAGTTTAATCAATTTGAGTTACTTACATTTGGGGCAATATGATGGATCCCTGCCAAGATATTAATCATCCTTGGTCTGGGGCTGCAGCCAGACTATTGGTTGGATCCCTGCAAAGACCCCAGGAAAGGCCAGTGATAATTATAGGAAACAGACAAAGGGAGGAGGAGCTAGAGAGTACATCCCCAATGATTAGTGGATATTTGGGATTTCTGCTTAGTAATGAGCACATTTCCAAGATTGGGCATTAAGCCAATGTTGTTGGGTAAATGCCCAAACACAGGATAGTGTACTGGTCAAAATGGTCACACACAGGTCACCGTATTCTTGTTTTGGTTTTGCCAGACACATTATTTGAGTTATGACTCAGTGTCCAAATTATGATTTTTAACAGGTCACCATGTCTGGGCTTCCACCTTTTACAGAATTTAAGTTAATGACTTTTCACTTCTTACTATGTATTATGGCTTTTCCCCAATCAGGACCCCACAGATATTGTCTCCTAGTCTTCTGTACTGTCTTTCTTTGTTTGCAGACCTTGAGGTACTCTGTAGTTTCTGGCTTAGCAGATAAACATTCAATGTTCTTCCTTCCCTCATCTTTTAATTACAAGTCCTTTCTTCAAATCACTTTCTCAAGACTACAAGCACTTATAACAAATATATCCTTCTGGACTTCATTTAATACTCTCAACCTCTAGCCATAAGACTTTCATTCCTATATTTTAAATGGTGGTCCAGAAATCAAACTCCTGTTCTCAAGACATCATCTTTCTCAATAGCTGCTTACTTCACATATCTGTCTTTCTCTTCTGTAGCCCTTATTTTCATTAAAAAAACATCACTATTGTTCTAAAGATCTTCAGTTTCTTGCTCAGGACTTCAAATTCCCCCAATGATGCTTTCTAGACTCTTCCTATTAGTATTATTTATGTCATATTTCCCTAACTGGATTATAAGTTCTTAGAGGCCAGGGACCATGGCTTATCCATCATTGGCCCTTCCATAACATAACCTCTAATAGTTACTGTTGCGGTAGAAAGATTCGCTGTTTAAAGTCTGAGGTACAAGTCAGTAAAAAATTAACACTTTACTAATAAAGATTTTATCCCATGGCACAAAGAGGCCAGTTAGCTGACAAAGAAAACCTGTCAGGCACATGGGCTCTCAATATAAGCTCTTCCCCAGCAATATAATGTGACATAGCATCACATTGAATCACATCACACTGTATCAAATCACAACACAAGATACTGTAACAACATCACATCCCAACACAAGACAACATAATACAACATCATAACACAATAAAATATAGCACAACAGTGAATTTTAATGATGTAAGCACATATATGCACATTAAAAAATATTATAGACACACACAAAACAAGGAGCAATTATGCTAGACCATAGAATCTTACTAAGCATAGGGTTGCAAAGTCCCATAAAGCAACAGAGTAGCACACAGACCTAGTATTGATATGGTTTTGTGATATTACAGCCTTGTTGATCATAGTGATAAGAGGGACCCTGGTGAGGGCTAGAACACAAGGTCTTGCAAAAACAACTGGGGAGGGAGGAGACAAATACAAAGGGCCACAGTAGACATGGCTTGCTCAGTTTACACCAACATGGAAGCTAATTCTAAAATGAAGTTACTCCTCTTAAGAGAGGAAAGACCCAAGGCCTCTCTTTCTCTGCCTCTACAATCCTGAATTAATATTTGTTGAATTAAGAAAGGAAAAAAATTAAAACATCAATGATTGATTTTTCTCTATCCTTGAAGTTTCTGGCTTAGGTGTCTTGCACAATTTATTGGATGAGATAGTTAAATGAGATAAAATGAATTCAGAGTATGTCTGGGGCAGAATTGGATGAGTAGAAATCCTGCGTGATGCTCAGCAATCAGCAGGTATTTCTCCAGGAGGTGGGAAGAGCTGCATCTGATCATGGAGTATGGCGAGTGGGATTGGCAGCCAGCTTGGGTGGCCTTCTCCCTCTTGAGCGCCATACTCCCTCTTTTTGCTACCATATGACTCATAATTTCCTCTTCTTTAGACAGAAGGGAACACTAACAACTGGGAGAATCAGGGAACATATATGTTCTGAGTCTGGAAGAGCATTAGCGACCCAGAGAGTTTCCAGGGAGCTATAGAAGAGTGTTCCAGATATGGGGGACAGCCTGTGCAAAGATGTGGAATATGGATATGGTGACAGGAAGTAAGCCAGTTTGACTAGAATGAGTTCATGGTGGGGAGGGGGGAGGAAGAATAATGTGAAATCAGTCAAAAAAAAAATAGGCTTGGATCCATGTGTATTTCCCTTCCATTGTAGGGGAAGGGATGGAGTTTGACCAGCCATCAGTTCCACATTTAATTCAATAAATGGCCCTGACTGACAAGGTGTAGTAAACACAAGATAGAGGGAGTGGGCTGGTTTCGTTTCTAAAAGTAGGGCCCATTTTATTCCACTTCAGCTTCTCCTCTTATTGAAGGTGGATGTATACTTTGTCATTGTAGCTTCTTGAGCAGGTTTTGAAAGTCCTTGATCCAGAAAAGTGTTTGGAGGATGAATGGGCGTACTGTCAAGATGGCAGAGAGCTCAAGAGAAAACCCTGGGCTAGAATGATGAAAATTCACGAGTGTTTGCCATTGGAAGCGTGAGTATTGTTCTAGGACCCTCAGGGACATTCTTGATCAATCGGCAAGACGTTTTGTTAGTTCACTTCCCAAGCTGCCCTTGGGAAAGTTGCCATATAGTAAGGTTTAGAACATTAAAAGCAGTTTGACTTGATTTCTTAAATGAAATCCCTTCCTAATGAAGAAGAGAAAGCACCCCCCAGGCCAATGGAATGGCCACTTCCCTTACTAGCTAGGTGGAGGCATAACTGTGAAGAATGGAAAGGACCCAGTCAAAGGATTCCTTATACGGGATACAGTGGTTAGAGTGCCAGATCTGGAGTCAGAAAGCCTCCTCTTTGTGACTTCAAATCTGGCCTCCAACACTTAACTGTGTGACCCTAGGCAAGTCACTTAACCCTGTTTGCCTCAGTTTCCTCATCTGTAAAATGAGCTGGAGAAGGAAATGGCAAACCACTCCAATATCTCAGCCAAGAAAACATCAAATAGGATCAGGAAGAGTCAGACATGATGAAATGACTCAACAACAACAACAATGTTATTATGCATAATAATATTATTATTGTTATACTTTTGGCCAGAATGTCACAGGAGTGGCCAACACCAAAGACTGCATTATCATCATAGCTTATATTGATTCTGTCCCAAATTATTGCCAGTAATAATAATATAATTGAAAGACTTCCTTGTGACCTTGAGAGAGAGGTGCTGCTGTGAGGCCTCTGGACTTGGGTCCTCCCTCTCGGCCCAGCACCAAGGCGTCTCTTTGTTTCAGGCTTTTCTGTGACTGACTGTCTGTGTTCTTATTTGTTTACCGTCTCTTCTTTAGCCCCAAACCACCACCGGTGAAGAATCCCTACAGGTTTTTCCGTGGGGAAGAAAAGATAGAAGAGGAAGAATGCAGCCGCCTCTCAGAGCTGGAAGAACACATGCAAAGCACTGCTAAAGAATTCTGTGACTGGGTTTCTGCTTTTGTAAGTTAGCAGCCACCTATGAACTTCTTTCATTGGGGTCACCTTAGAAAGTGAATTTTATCACTTTGGGGACAAAATCTAAGGGAAATCACCAGATTTAGAATATGACCCCTCCCCAACCACCAAATAAATTTTCTCCTAACAATAATCTACTTAACTCAGAAGTTGTATTTCTATAATTCATTGATGATTGTAAAACACTGTCTTCAGAGCAATCCAGTAAGATAAATAGTACAAATATAAAAACAACAACTAGTATTTTTATAGTGCTTTGCAAAGAACTTTGCATGGATTATCTTATTTTATCCTTACAACAGCCCTGGGAGGCAGGAGCTATTATTTTTCCCATTTTACAGTTGAGGAAAATGAGTCACAAAAAAGTTAAGTGACTTTGCTCAGGGTCACACAGATAGTGTCTAAGGCCAGATTCAAACTCAGATCTTTCTGATTCTAGGCATAGTGCTCTAACCACTGGGCCATCAAACTGCCTCCGTTTTATAAATGGAGAAACTGAGGCTCAGATAAAGAAACCTGACCAGGGTTGCACAAGTATTAAGTGATGGAGCTGGGATATCAATACAAGTCTTTTTTTCAGACCGAGTCCAGTGTTCTTTCAACTATGTTATGTTGACTTTCTTGTCATTTAAGTAGACAGGACCTAATCAACCATGTTCAGCTAAATGTGGCAAGGTGTATAAAAATAACTCTTATAACTCATATACCAGGACTGAAGCTCTGGGTTTACAACAATAAGGTTCATGCTTGAAGGCTTCTCAATCATTACCTCTTTCATTCATGCCCCCACCCAGAATTTCCCTTAGAAACATCAAAATCTGATTTATGTCTTAGTCTCTGCGAAAAAGAAAAGGTTTCAGGCTAACAAATGTTGAATGAAAAATAGACTTTATTTAACCTGATAATTTTTAAAGCACAAAAGATTCATGTCTAAGCCTATAAACAGTAGAAACAAATCTTCTTCCCTCTTTTCTGGGCTTCTACCTCCCTAGGGACTGATCCAATCCTTTAGGCTTAAATAGCCCTACACTGTGATTGAAGTTATACTCCCCCCTCACTCATCCTGCATATGCACATGCACATGTGTGTGCACACACACATATGTACAAGGAAAACAAAGCATTTAGTCTGGCTGGGGATCTGAGCAGCTATTAGGAACCTGACCTAACTCAGGCTCATAACCTGTTCACTCAGCTTAAATGTAGGAACAAAATAAGTCACCCATAGGTCACTGAACCATTAAGAAAAGGAAGTTGACTTAGCCATACCATAGAAAGAATATTCAAGGAATATAAGCACTTAGCTTGGAGAGATACTGCCTTCTTTGCCTCTCTGTGGAAATATGTGTGGTCAACTGGGTAGGGTGTGGAAACATGCGCCATGTCTGAAGAGCTCCGACTCCAAGAGGGTGGGCCTTTCATGCCCTTACATGACCAGGAAAGCAGCTAACACTTAGTCCCCTCCACTAATGAGATCCTGGGAACAGAAGTGTAGCCTTTCAGAGAAAAACCAGTCAAACCTGTGTGGAAGAAGGGGTTAGAACATTGTTCTCACAACAGCAACCTATCCCTCCTGGGAACTCGACCTTCCCAAAGGATACTATTCCTTTGTTCAGAATTGTAACACTAATCTTTCAAGAGGCCAGTACTAAGAGTTGTTAGATTGTCCAACAGCCCACCTCTCCACTTAGCCCCACCTCTCCCACAGACCTATACACAATAGTAGGTCATTCTCACTTCCTTTTTTGTTGGGGTTACTAGGCTGATGGATCAGGTGGCATGCGATTGATACACATATTATGAGGAAGTATTTGCCAAAGTCTCTCATGCTGTTCTTTTGGGGGGGGGGGAAGATGGAGAGATATGGGTGAGATGACAGTATAATTAGGTAGAGTCAGATTAGTTGGGTGGTAGGACCTAAACTGATCATTGATAGTTCCATGTCAGTTTGGAAGAAGGTCACTAATGGAGTGCTCCAAGCATGTATGCTTGGTGCTATGCCACTTAACATTTTTAATGGTGACTCAAATAAAGGTATAGCCATCAAATTTGCAGATGACACAAAGGTAGGAGGGAGAGCCGGAGCACTTAATGATGGAGTCAGGATCCAAAAAGCTGGAATGTTGAACCAAAATACAGGAATTTTAATAGGATTGAATGTAAATTCTTACACTAGGGTTCAGATCATTATCTTCCCAAGTACAAGACTGGCAACAATGGATGCAATGTAGTTTGTCTGAAAAAAAAATGGTCTGGGGGATTTTAGTGGTCTGGAAGCTCCATATGAGGTAACAGTGTGATAGGAAAGCCAAGAAAATTAGAGGAATCAGAATACATAAAAAGAATGTGCTGTCCAGGAGTGGAGAGGTAACCTTTCTGTTCGACTCTGACTAGGTCAGACCATGTGAGGAATATTATTCTCAGATCTCTTTGCCACATTTTAGGGAGGAGGACATCCAGGGAAGGGCAGCCAATATGGGAAAGTTGATGTCAGGAACTTTGGTCACTGGCTCCTGGATAGGGTTGTCTTACTAGCCCTATGTTCCCAAAATGCAAAGTTTTATTCATTGAATCAATTGTTGAATTGTAGACATTAAGAGGCACCAGGGGTTGTTGCCCTGCTGACACAGATTGGCTATGACACAGACCCTTGACAAATCAATTGGGCTCTCACTGATCCAGATAATTTTCTAAGACTAAAACTTGCAGAGGAACTATTGGGAAAGGGAGTCATGAGTCCAGTTCTCATTTTTTTCTGCAAGAACCAGCCCTTGGTGTGTTAGACCAATTCTCCAGCACTGCTAAGAGTTCCATCTGTACAAAAAGGGAGTAAGGACCTTTTGTTAAAACGAAAAATTAGTTTCCCACATGCACTATGGTTTCCAAGACCATGTTACTGTGGTCTCTTTCACATCCCCAAAGCAGCACTTGGGAACTGAGAAGTAGCAATCCAGATCTGAAATGTCATCCCCCTGCTCAATAAACTTCAGTGGCTTCTTATTATTTGTTGGACCACATGCAGACTCCTCAGTTTGATATGTAAAGCCTTACACAACTTGTCCCTAACCTGCTTTTCTAAAGTTATTTCCCTTTGGACACTCCTGGATCCAGCAAAATGATCTTGTTCTGGTTTCTCTCTCGCAACACTCCATCTGTTTCCATGGCTTTAGACTATCTCTCCATGCCTAGAATGCACCCCCTCCTCTTTTCCTGTCTTCCTTCAAAGCTCAGTTCAAATGAAATATAGAGACTTTCTTGATCTTCCTGATTAGTGGTCCTTTCTCCTTCCCTATCTACATGCCATTAGCTTGTATTTATTTTGTATATATGCATACAAAATGTGTGTACGTATACCCATATGTTGTCTTCCTAGATAGAATGTAAGCTCTTTGAGGGCAGGAACTCTTGGTTTTTTTTTTTTGAAGGGCTTGGCAAATTTTATTAATTAATTTATTTTGAATTATCAATAATCATTTCCACAAGCTTTTGAGTTTTAAGTTTTTCTCCCTCCTCTTCACTTCTCTCCCCAAGATGGCATGCAATCTGATATGGGCTATACATATACATTCCTACTAAACAGATTTTCACATTAGTGATGTTGTAAGTAAGAATTAGAACCAACAGTAGGAACCACCAGAAAGAGGAAACAAAACACAACAGAAGAAAAAAAGTAGCAAATAGTGTGCTTTGATCTGTATTCAAACTCCCTAGTTCTTTCTTTGGATGTGGATAGCATTTTCCACCATGAGGCCTTTGGAAATGTCTTAGATCCTTGTATTGCTGAGAAGGGTTAAGTCTATCAATATTAGTCATTGGACAATGTGGCTGTTACCGTGTACGACGTTCTCCTGGTTCTGCTCACTTCACTCAGCATCAGACCATACAAGTCTTTCCAGGTTTTTCTGAAGTCAGCCTATCGGGAACTCTTGTTTTTATAGACAATATTTATATAACACTTATAGCATCACAAAGCACTTTGCATATCTCATTTGATTCTCACAACAACCCAGGGAGGTAAGTGCTATTATTACTCCCATTTTACAGAGGAGGAAACTGAGGCAGGCAGAGTTTAAGTGACTTGCCCAGAGTCATACAGTGAATAAATATCAGAGGAAGGATTTGAACTCAGGTCTCTCCTATTCCAAGGCCAACACTATCTGTTGCTCCACCTAGCTGGTTACTACATAGCAGTGGCTTAATAAATGTTCATCCATTGATTGAAACTCTTCTCTCAACAACTTCCACTGCCTCTCCAAAACATCCCAGAGCACTGTACCTTCCCCCTAGATTAAAAAACAGGAAGTTGTTTGCTTTTCAATTGCTTAACAGTAATGCTTCCGATGTGATATTGATGCACTAGGGGGAGAGTGACCAAATGGACGTGCCCACGATCCTGAAACTGTTTGAAACTAGTTATGAATATCCAAAAGGCTACAACGTCCTCCACTTGATGGAAATGAATCAGCTGCCCCTGGACCTAAAGCAGGGTGTGGGGCTAACAACACTGGAAGAGATGCAGTATGCCCTGGAGGGGATGGACCACGAAAGGAGAATGGAGAGGACCAAGGTAAGTTCCCATTAAAAAAACTCTTCCAAGACAAAGAAGAACAAGTACCAGAGGCAAGAAGACCCGGCAAATGCCGGAGGCTTTTTGAAATTCTTGAGCTTTGCCCAGTTGCCCACTCTTTGTATTTTAATTCCCGGGTTTTTAAATTCTGAAATCTTAAGGAGCCCTGTCCTCAAGGACCTCATATTCTAATAGGGAGAGAGAACACATGTAAGGGGATGTTGGCCAAGGAAGTGAGCTTTGGTTTTCTGAGTTACAAAGATAGTGAGTGGAGCAAGGAAGCAGTCTACAGTCATGCCCTTTCTGGTCCCAATGGGAATTTTTATTTGATTCCATTGCAAGAGATGGAAAATGGGGTCGGGGTGGGGTGGGAGTCAGGGCAAATCGCAAGATGCCTTGTTTGATGATTGTATGTGGTGCAATAATTCAACAGGTTAGGTGAGTTTGTACTCACTAATTAAAACTACTTAGCTCCAAGGAAGGAGTTCCAAAACTGAATGGTCTAATTCCCCAAAGGTACATTCTTTCATCTTCCACCCCCAGCTACTGGTTAGCATCTCTTGCTGTTTACTTACATCCTTTTTCTTTTTTCTTCTTTGAATCATTCTTCCATTCCTATGTTGGCTGAAGTCATATTCTTCATTTCTGACTGCATTTTCATATCCCATAGTTTTTTTTCTTAGCTGCTCTTCTATTAATAGGCACATATTTTATTTCCACTTTTTTACTACCACAAAATGTACTGCTAGGAATATTTTGGTTGATATGGTATCTTTGTTAGCTGTGACGTATTATGCTAAATAGTGGGAATGGACAAAGGGTATGAACATTTTAATGACTTTTCTCCCGTAATCTCAAATTGTTTTCCAGGATGGTTGGGCCAAATCACAGCCCTCAAAACAATGTTCCTATCTTCTGATAGTTCCTCCAATATTGACTCTCTGCTTTTTGTCTTTGCTGATTTTTTGAGTTCAGGTTGTTTTAATATGCAATTCTCTCTCTCTCTAATATTGAAATACAGCAATCAAACGTTTTTAATTAATTAATTTATTTTAAGCTTTTATTTGGTATTTTATTTTCCCCCAGTTACATGTAAAAACAATTTTTAGCTTTCATTTTTAAAACTTTGAACTCCAAACTTTCTCCCTTCCTCCCTCCCCACCTCCCCACCATTAAGAAGGCAAGCAATTCCATGTAGATCTATAGTCATGCAAAACATATTCATAGTAGTCAAGTTGTGAAGGAAAACATAGACAAAAAAACTCATGAAAAATAAAAATTTTAAAAAGTGTGTTTTAATCTGTATTCAGATAACATCAGTTCTTTCTTTGGGGATGGATAACATTTTTCATCATAAGTCCTTCGGAGTTGTCTTGGATCATTGTATTTCTGAGAATAGCTAAGTCATTCACTGCTGATCATCTTACAATATAGGCATTTCTCTTGGTATTAGTGATTCAGAACTGTTTTCTTACATTTACAATTTGCAGATCTTTTGAAGACGTCATGTCCTTTGAACACATCTGATAGGGAATGACTTTTGGTCCTCTATGTATCGATTTCCTTTATATTTTGCATATCAAACTTTTATCAGCAACATTTAATGCAAAGATTTCCCTCCCATAAGACATTTTCTTTTCTGGTTCATATATTAATTTTGTTTTTGCAAAAGCTTTTAAATTTTATATAATTGAAACTGTTTATCTTTTCTGATCCCCTTTATCCCTTGCTTGGTTAAGATTCTCCTCTTAAGCATAGGTATGAAGGTGAATGCCTGTTCTCTTGTCATTTTTCTAATGATGAAACATTTTATTTTTAAGCCATGTGTCCATTTGGAGTTTATTGTGGTATGTAATGTAAGATGGTGGTCTATATATAATTTATGTCAGACTTCTTTGCGGTTTTCTCAGTTCTTGTCCTTGATCCAGGCACTGTTGTTCTCAATTCTATCTGCATTCCAAGTCCCAAACCCCTTGGTGTGGCACTCTCTCTTCATTGGGGGAGATCGATGCCGAGTGCTTGCATGAGAGCCTGCCTGGGAAGTGGGAGTGAGAAAAGCCCCAGCTTTTCAAATCTCTTCAAATTTCTTTGAACTCTTCACTTTCCTCAGATCTGGGTCTCTTCTGGCTTCCAGTTTCAAGAGAGAAGATGGACAATGCCAACCTCACTTCAGGTTGCTGAAGAGAAGATAAGACTCTAGAAAGAAAAAACCCTACAATTCCTTGCAAAAATAAGAGACCAGAAACTATATTCTTATGGGAAAAGTCCCCATGTGTAGCAAAGACTGTTCCCTACATGTAGCATGGGGTGTTATTGTGTGGCTCAAAAGGAAGGCAGAATATACATCTCTAGCCTCTTTGCCCCATCACTCTTCTCCAAGGGATATCTTATTTCCTGGCAAGTGGGGAAGCAGGAAGTTGGGTCCAGAAGCATGGTCACTCTGCTCTCCTCAGAGAGAGGGGCTACCAGGTTAGAATCATATCTCTCTACTCCCTTAAATATTATTAGTCTAGCAGATATGGTTTTCAGGCTTAAGCTAATCTTCTGATCACTATTTTTAAATGGGAAAATGAGGGCTCCAAGTTTTATATCCAAGGCTTTACTTCCTTCTCATCAAATACTATTTCCACAATGAACACACACACATAGCAACTGGCTAAGATACGCATTTATCCAATAACAAAATAGAAATTCACACACATAGGAGAATATATACCATATATATATGTATATATTATATATATATATATATGTCTATAAATATGTAGACAGTACAGAGTGAAGGAACTCTTCCATTGGGAGCAAGGGGAAATTCTCTGATGTTTCTAGTGTAGCGAGCTAGGGATAGGGCCACATTGGGGACTGCCAGCTCCTCTCCTGTTGGCTTCTTATTTTCCCTTCAGTAGCCTGAAGTGGGATTGGCATCTTCCATCTTCACTCTTGAAGCTGGAAGTCAGAGGAGCCCAAAGACAGAGGGAGCTGAAGAATCCCCAAGAAACTCAGAGAGACCCAAAGAGCCTGGCACTCTTCCCTCTCCCACTTTTACCAACTCTGCCCCATCCCTCACACAGGTGCAGAGGACTGATTTTCCCCAACAAAGAGAGAGTCCCACGCCAATGTGTCTCAGGTTACACTTCTAATACTAAACAGTTGTGTTAGATTTGTCTTGCTTATCTAGTATGTCCCACTGTTCTACTTTTCTGGGCTTTTTGGTTAGAACCAAATAGTTTTGTTGATTACTGCTTTGTAATATCTGTCAGTCAGTTAGCAATCACGTAAGTACTTACTGTGTGCTAATACCAGGGAATAAAAATACAAGAAAAAAGAAAGACAGCCCCTGCCGTCAAGGAGCTTACATTCTAGTGGTGGAAGACAACACATCAAAAAAGCTGAATAGGGGGTGAGCAATGATATATGGTGAAGGGGTGAGACTGCATGGTAGAAAAAGTCCAGAGTACATTGTGAAGAAGAATTAGACATGGCTGGCCTAGGTGCCCTCTTTAAATGGAAGTTCTGGGAGGAAGCATCCAATCAGAGAGAAGCTACTGGTCAGAAGGTGCTTCCAATGTGTGAATTCCAGGACTAGAGTGACCTTCCAGGATGAAGATATTTCTGGGACACAAGAAAAAAAAATTCAGGAGTACAGTCCAGAAAAGAAAGTAATAAAATTCGAGTTTTGGTAATGTTATACTCCCTTTGTTCCTACTTTTTCTTTATATTATTTCCCATGCAATACCCCTTGTTCCTCCAAATGAATTTTGTTATTCTTTTCTCTAGGTCTGTAATGTATGCCCTTGGTAATTTGATTGGTATGACTCTAACCCTGGAAATTAATTTAGGGAGCATGTTTATTATATTGGCATGAGTCAATGATGAACCCAGCATATATTTCCAGTTATTTGTTGTCCTTCATTTTTGTAAAGAGTGTCATTTGTATAGAGCTATACGGTTTACAACATTTTTAAATGGGAGTTGTTGAAGAATATACACATTTCTCAATACCTCTCATAGAACTTTTACAAATATATATTTTGGGGACAGGAATGTTACCTATCTTTGCAGCTAAGGTCCCAGATATTTTCACAAGATCACAGAATTTTAGTGTTGGAAGGAACCTCAGCAACCATGTAGACTGACCCATACCTCCCAAATAATCTTTACTATGTATTCTGTATGTACTTTCTCTTTTTATCATATTGTTTTTAGTTTTGGTATGTTCTTTATAAAAATACTGATGGATTTTGTGAATCTATTTTGTATACTGCTATTTTACTAAAACTATTAATCATCTCTAATTTTTTTGTTGATTCTCTGGGGGTCTTCCAAGTTATCATGTTATCAGCAAATAGGGATAATTCTGTCTCTTTGTCTATTTTCATACCTTTAATTTCTATCTCTTGTTTTATTTATAGCTAGCATTTCTAGAACTATGCAAAATAAGAGTAGGCAGAAGGGGTATCCTCTTTGGGCTAAGTAACCTTCAGGTGTTTCTTTCATTGCAAGTAATAAAATATATTGGTTTCAGATGACTTTTGATCATATTTTATTTAACTTATTTATTTTTGGTGAGGCAGTTGGGGTTAAGTGACTTGCCCAGAATCACACAGATAGTGATGATTAGGTTTCTGAGGCTGGATTTGAACTCAGGGCCTCCTGACTCCAGGGCTGATGCTCTATCTACTGCACCACCTAGCTGCCCTATTTGTTTTGGGGTTTTTTTTGTTTCTTTTCTTTTCTGTTTCTTTTATTTTTTTTTGCTAGGCAATGGAGGTAAGTGTCAGACTAGTGCTTTTGAATGCATAAAATAAAATACATAGGATTACAATGGAAACCAATTATATCAAAATATAGTTACCTATTAATAAAAACCATTCGTAGACCCCAGGTTAAAAACCCTTGGCATACAGGGAAGCAAATTTTCCCTTCCTAAATGCTCTACAGTTGACCTAACGCCTCCTTTTCCTCTCTCCTTCCCAAATAAAGGCATAGGATTTGACATTTATAGTACTAGGCTGAGTAAATACTTGTCTATGAATGAATATTGTGCAAGCCCAGTGTTGGCAACATGATTCTTGATCCTCCAAGCTTAATCATCTTTTTTTATTATTTCTAGCTGCTACTTTGATTTAAGTTTTGCAATAGGATGGAGATGTTTTTAGAGAAGTCAGTGGAATCTTTCTCAATGAATGTGATTGTAGGTTTGCTTGCGTGTAAAGTTTAAACTGCTCTGGAAACAACATGGAGCTATTATCTAATTGATGAAATATTTTGGTTACTGACATAAACTTAAAGCAATGAAAAGTATGTTCCCTAAAATACTAGGGCCGGAATTAAATTTAAATGTACTCACAGTGATGTTGTTGACTTATCAACAGCATTTGAATCAAGGAACCAAGGACTTACTTTTTGAATCTGGTTTGTAATAACAAACCAGAGCACCTGAAATGACATAGGAAATTGTTTTCTTTTCCGCAGAATCCTTACAAATCAGACTGGGTAAAGTTCAGGTATGGGGCCTGGTATCTGCACACCAAGTTATGGAAGAAGCAAAGAGCAAATGAGCCTTTACTGGATCCTAAAATGGAAGCTTCTTTCAAATATGAAAAGTTGAAAAAGAATCTTCTAGAAAAGGTATGTTCATATGTTATGATCTACAGTCTCATTTTCATTTGGGCTAAAAATGGCCCTACTCCATTTGTGACTCTTCTACCTCATCCTAGAATCTTTTGAGAAATATATCATTTTCCTAGAATCTCAAAATTCATGTCAAGAGTTCTACAATTAAGATAATAATTTATTAGAGAGAGTATATGTTAAGTTTCCTGACTATAGGATGGGCCCAAAGAATATCTGAATAATATTCAGTAGGTGATGGATTGACCAAGATGCTGATGAATGTGATTTATCATCAATATGCAATTGGGATGTTCCATATCCCTACCTCAGTTAATGTAATGGAATTGGTATAAAATCATGATTTAAAAAATTATTGATATATTTTTATATCACCATAGTTTCTCCCAGTATCCTCCAAAAGTCCCTCCAATATCCAATATCCAATACTCTCTGATATGCTTTCTTCCAGAGAGCCAACTCAATCATAAATAGTATTTTTAAAGAGAAAAAAAAATAAAGGAGAGGAAAATATCAACATAATTGATCAAAAAAAAGTCAGAAAAATGTAGAAGTGTCCTCCCATCCCCTCAAGTGAGTCATGCTTGTCCTTTGTAATTTTGCAATATTCGCTTTTGACTTTGTGTCTGTGTGCCTGTGGTTGTTTTTTCTGTTGATATTGTTGTAGTCATTGTATGTTTTGTTTTCTTAGTTCTGCTTGCTTCACTCTGCATTAGTTCATGGAGGTTTTTCTTTGATTTTCTGTGTTCATTACATCCATCACTTCTTATAGCACAATATTATTCCATTATATTCATGTACCACAATTTGTTTAGCTATACCCCAAATCAATGGGCAGCTACTTTGCTTCCAATTCTTTGCTATCACAAAAAGTGCTTCTGTAATAGTACCAGATTGTTTTGATGATTATGGCTTTGTAATACAGTTTAAAATCTGGAACTGCTAGGTTTCCTTCCTTAACATCTCCCCACATTGATTCCCTTGATATTCTTAACCTTTTGTTCTTCCAGGTGAGTTTTGTTACTATTTTGTCTAATTCTATAAAATAATTCTTTAGTAGTTTGATTGGTATGGCACTGAAGAAGGAAATTAACTTAGGTAAAATTGTCGTTTTTATTATATTGGCTTCGTCTACCCGTGAGCATTTCTCCAGTTGTTTAGATCTGTCTTTATTTGTATGAAAAGTGTTTGTAATTGTGTTTATATAATTCCTGGGTTTATCTGGGCAGGTAGACTCCCAAGTGCTTTATATTGTCTATAGTTATCTTAAATAGAATTTCTTTTTGTTTCTTTTTCTGTTGGGTTTTGTTGATGGTATATAGAAATACTGATGATTTGTGTGGGTTTATTTTATATCCTGCAACTTTGCTGAAGTTGTTAATTGTTTCAACTAGTTTTTAACTGACTCTCGAGGTTCTGTAAGCATACCATCATATCATCTGCAAAGGGTGATAGTTTTGTTTCCTCATTACCTATTTTCATTTCTTTTTTTTTTTTTTTTGGTGAGGCAATTGGGGTTAAGTGACTTGCCCAGAGTCACACAGCTAGTGAGTGTTATGTGTCTGAGGCCTGATTTGAACTCAGATCCTCCTGAATCCAGGGCCAGTGCTCTATCTGCTGTGCCACCTAGCTGCCCCCCATTTTCATTCCTTCAATGTATTTTTCTTATCTTATTGCTATAGCTGGTTTTTCTAGTACAATATTGAATAATAATGGTGATGATGGACATCCTTGCTTCACTCCTGGTCTTATTGGAAAGGCTTCAAGTTTATCCCCATTATAGATTATGCTTGCTCATGATTTTGGATAGACGCTACTCATCATTTTAAGAAAGGCTCCACTAATTCCCGTGCTTTCTGGTGTTTGTAACAGGAATTAGTAGATTTTGTCAAAGGCTTTTTCTGCATCTATTCATATAATCATATGAGGTTTTTTATTTTTGTTTTTGATATGGTCAATTATGCTGATAGTTTTCCTAATATTCAACTAGCCATGCAATTCCTGGTATAAATTCCATCTCGTCATGGTATATGATCTTTGTGATGTATTGCTGAAATCTCCTTCCTAGCATTTTATTAAAAAATTTTCATCAATATTCATTAAAGAAGTTGGTCTGTAATTTTATTTCTCTGTTTTTGCTCTCCCTGGTTTAGGTATCAGCACCATAATTGTGTCATAAAAGGAATTTGGCAGGACTCCTTTACCTATTTTTTTCAAATAATTTATATACTATTGGGATAGATTGTTCCTTAAATGTTAGGTAGAATTCACTTGTGAATTCATCTGGTTCTGGGGATTTTTTCTTAGAGAGCTCATTTATGACTTCATCAATTTATTTTTCTAAGATAGGGTTATTTAAGAATTCTATTTTCTCTTCTGTTAACCTAGGCAGTCTACATTTTTAAAATATTTATCCTTTTCACTTATGTTGTCAGTTTTATTGGCATATAATTGAATAAAATAACTTCTAATAATTGCTTTAATTTCATCTTCATTGGTGATGCATTCACCCTTTTCATTTTTTTTCCTTTTCATTTTTGGTAGTAGTAATTTGGTCAACTCACACACATGCCCTCTGTCTATGAGCAGGGCAGAGATGGAATTGGAAGGGACAGAGAAAGACTAAGATAGGATTGCAAAAAAAAAAAAGGAAAAAGGAAATAAAAAGAAAAGGTCATTAAGCATTTTTTAAATGTTCAAAAAAGAGCAGAAGGGAGGCTAAAAGAGATCCAGATAAGCAGGATAGTTTTAATAGTTATATAGTGAATTTATTTTACTTCCCTCCCTCTCCCCCAAAAAAGCAAGCTGTACACAGTAGAGATCAGTAGTACCGTATATACTCATCTTTTTCTGTTATACTGTGTATGAGGAAATATTCAGATTAATAAAACAAGAAATAGAGAACATCTCAGAAAAAACAATTCCCCCCTCAATCAATACACTCCCCCTTCCCTAGTCAGAACAAGATAGATTAACAAGTAAATTCTATGAAATATTAGAAAAAATAATCCCAGGGTTACAAAAATTGTTTTTTTTTAAATAGGAAAAGAGAAGATTCTATCAAATTCCTTCTGTGAAAAAAGGAAGGAGAGTTAACAGGGGAAATATTTGCAGCAAATTTCTCTAATAAATGAGTGATATACAAGATATAAAGGAAATTGATGCAAATAAGAATCAGAACAATTCCTGTTTAGGAATTTGACTATTAGACAAATAGTCAAAGGACATGGACAGGCAGGTCTCAAAGGAAGAAATCTAAGCTATCAACAGGCATACGAAAAAATCCTCAAATTCACTATAAAAAATAATAAAATTAAAATGACTCTGAGATTCCATCTCATACTCATCAGATTAGTGAAGATGACAAAAGAGGAAAATGACTACTGGAGATCTGTGGGAGGACAGGCATCCACCAACGTACTGTTGGTGGAGCTGTGAACTGACCCATCAACTTTGGAATGCTCTTTAGACCCATACCCTAAAAATCACCAGATTTAATTGCCCTTTGACCTGTTAGGACCATAATTAGGTATAGTCCCACATGAGTAAGGTGGCAGATGGTAAGTGTAAGTTTCTCAGCTGGAAGGAAAGACTGAAGCATGATGGGAGAATCTTAGGAATTTTTGAGGTCCGAAGAAGCCCAAGGTGGACATATCAATGAGCCAACTTCAAATGGAAAATGTGAAAATATCACTATACCAAATTAAATATGATTGTGAGCAGTTGGAGCCTTGTGTGACACACTGATCTGCTTAAAGAGTAATTTGCAACGCAGAGCTTGCTGTTTTTCTGAATGTGCTTACTTCACACTAGATCCTGGTCAACTTATTCATTCTCGACTTCCTCCCACTTGGGTGAAAGATGTCCTCTTTCTCCTCCCCATCTCTCCTCCCTCCATCCATTTTGGTGGAGCTGAAGTATATCTTGTTCTCTCTCTCTCCACAGCTGATGATTCTGGCATGAGAGGTTAAAAGACTTCCTTGGGAGCAATGGAGTCACAATTTAGTTTTTATGAATGACTCAGTGACTCTGTCCAGTAAAATCCTAAAACATGAACTTGGGGCCCCCTTAGATTTATCCTGAGAGACTGAAGAGTAAATAAAACTAAAGAGGTTAAAGTCATGGTGTAGAGGAATTGTGGGAAGATGGCAGAATAAGGCAGGAAACTACCTTGCTCTCCTAAATTCCTTCATAAATAACTTAAAATAATGCCTCAAGGTAAATTTTAGAGCAGCAGAAATAATTAAAAGTCAGAGGAAAGCAGTTTGGGAGGATGTTAGGAAAGATCTGACCTCCCAGGGTGGAGGTCTGGCTTGACTGAAGTGCAAATACCTCTGGGTAGATACCACTGAGTCAACAAACAGCAACCGTATTATAAGACAGTAATTATCAAAACTATCTGGTACTGGCTGAGAAATAGAATGGCAGATCAGGAGAATAGATTAGATATACAATACACAGTAGTAAATTACTGTAGTAACTTTGTGTTTAATAAATGTAAAGATTTAAGCTTTGGGGATAAGAATTCACTAGTAAAAATTGTTAGGAAAACTAGGAAGCAGTCTGGCAGAAACTAGATATAGATCAATATCTTACACCATATACCAGTCTATGGTCAAAATGGATACATGAACTAGACATAAAGGGAGATGTCATAAGTAAATTAGAAGAACATGAAACACATTATCTATCAGATTTATAGATAGAAGAATTTATGGTGCAGCCAGGGACTTTAGTACTGGTTCTGGAGATTAAACTTTACCTCCCCCTCTTTTTTTAACCAGAAGGGAGAGGGGAATAAGGAAAGACTTATCCCATTGTATTTCGCAGTGAAAACTAATGTTTCAAAGGCACATACCCCAAAGAGATCAAAAGAAGAGAGTATGGTACCATATGTGCAAAACTATTTCTAGCAGCCCTTTTTGTTAAAGCAAGGAAGAAAGAAAAGAAGTGAAAGGAAGGAAGGAAGAAGAGTGGGAGGGAAAAGTATGAATAAAACATTAAAAATGAAAAAATATAGAAAAGAACCAAAAGTCACACAGATAGCAAGTGTTGGAAATATTGTATTAAATTTAATATATACTTTTTAAAATTACATGACAGAGCATAGGATCATATATTTAAAGCTGGAAAGGACCTTAAATGTCATCAAATGCAAACCCCCCATTTTACAAATAAGGGAATTCAAGCACAGAGAGATTAAGTAATTTATTCAGGATTACATAAGTAAAAAATGTTTAAAGTGAACTTCATACCCAGTTCTTCCTGATTCCCAGTCCAATACCTTATCCACTCCACCACATGTGGCCCTCTAGGTCCTCAAGTACGACCTTTTGACTGAATCCAAACTTCACAGAAAAAAGTCACCTTAATAAAAGGATTTGTTCTGTAAAACTTGGACTCAGTCAAAAGGCCTCACCCCAGGACTTAGAAGACCACATGTGGTCTTGAGGCTGCAGGTTCCCTACCCTTGGAGGAATTACTGTACTCATAAAGATTCATAATGTCCAAAAAAAAGAAACACAAATAGAGGATTCATAATGTCGTATACAAACTTTTCTTTCCTTTTTATAAGAAAATGTTCATTTCTATCAACGTCCTAATAATGGTTTAAAAATATTAAAATATTTTCAAAAACAGAAACCAAAATGTTTATGTTCAATACATTTAAAAAAAATTTTTTATTAATTTATTTAGATTTATCAACAATCACTTCCATATGCTTTTGAGTTTAAAATTTTTCTCCCCCTTCCTTCCCACCACCCTCCCCAAGTTTCAATACATTTTAAAAGTCTGAATATCCCACTATGAAATATAATTTTGATATTTTATTGTCCAAAATTATATCTTTGTTAAAAATTAAACTTACTATTTTCAATATCTTGACATGGCAAGATACCCATGTCATTGAGTTAAAATGTTATATTGTTGTGAGGCTGCCAGAACTGAACTGATAATTTCTGGATTTTTTTTTTACACAAAGCTAAACAGTTCTTTGAATTTATTGTTTTGACTAGTTGCATGACTTGAAGAACTTTATCTTCATCTGGTTGCAATTATTTGCATTTCTTCTATGTGAAGGAAAAATGCTTCCCTTCTTGTCCTCACATTCATTGGTTCTGTGGTTTGAAAGCAGTGCTCTTATTCAGAACTATTATAAAAATAAAGTTTTGATGACTGACCTCTTAAACTATTTCTGGTTTCTTTCTAGGATGCAACACTCATGGACCTTCATGGAACTGTTGCTTTCAAAGAATTTATTGAAAGAAAAGGTTACAGGATGCCTACTGTGAGTGAAACAAGGGTCTGGTTATCAGTGTAGGTATCAGTAACAAGACTGCTGTTAAGTGCTGGATTAGATGAAGTGCTGCAAAGTTAACAGGTGGACCTGAATAGAAATACAGTGTACCACAGGCTTTTTTCTTGCTTACTTTCTCTCCAGGTTCAAAGTCAATCTAGTGAGTAGAATCCAAAATATAGCATATATTGCCAAAAATGCAGAACTTTGTCACAAGTGCTCCTATGAATCTTCCTCGAACAGAGCCAGGAATCTGAAAATTCTTGAAAAATGTGAAGCCCACACACATTCCAGTCCAAAGTCTCTATAACCCCTGAGAAGCCTTCCTGAATATTCTGATTTTTCTACAAATGAAGGTTCCGTGAATAAATGAACACTTTAAAATGTTTTAAAAATTTTTTTGCTTTCAGTTCCAAATTATCTCCCTCCACTCTGTCCTACATCCTTTGAGAAGGCAAGAATTATAATACCCCATTATACATATGAAATCATGCAAAGCAAATTTCCCACACAAGTCATGTTGCCCAAAAAAAGGCAATAAAAATAAAGTGAAAACCAAATATGTTTCAATCTGCACTTAAAGTTCATCAGTTCTCTCTCTGGAGGTGGATAGCATTTTTTATCGTGAGTTCTTTGGAATTGTTGTAGATCATTGTACTGATCAGAGCAGATGAGTCTTTCACACTTGATTATCTTTACAATATTGCTGTTATTGTATACAGTGTTTTCCTAGTTCTACTCACTTCACTTTGCATCAGCTCATATAAGTCTTCCCAGGTTTTTCTGAAACTACCCCTTTCATAATTTCTTATAACACAGTAATTATTCCATCACAATCATGTATCATAACTTGTTCAGCCATTCCCCAATTGATGGATATCCCATTAATTTCCAATTTTTCACCACCACGAAAAGAACTACTATGAATATTTTTGTACACATGGGTCCTTTTCCTTTCTCTTTGATCTCTTTGGAGTACAGACCTAGTATTGGTATTGCTGAATCAAAGGATATGCACAATTGTATATCCTTTGGGAATAGTTCCAGCTTGTTCTCCAGAATGGTTGGGTAAGTTCACAACTCCACCAGCAGTTCATTAATGCACCTATTTTTCCACATCCTCTCCAGCATTTCTCAGTTTCCTTTTGTTCTTCAGAGTTGTTTTAATTTGAATTTCTGTAATTATTAGTAATTTAGGGTATTTTTTTCACTTGGCTATTGATAGGTTTGATTTCTTCTTCTGAAAACTGCCTATTCGTATTCTTTGACTATTTATCAGTTGGGGAATGGCCCTTATTTTTTTGGCTCAATTCCTTACATATTTTAGAATCCATAAGCTTTATATTTGAGGGCTTTATCAGAAGAACTTACTGCAAAGATTTTCCCCCAAGTTTCCCGCTTTCCTTCTATTTTTGGCCGCATTGGTTTTGTTTGTGCAAAGCCTTTCTAATTTCATGTAATTAAAATTATCCATTTTACCTCCTGTGATCCTCTCTATGTTTTGTATGCTCATTAAGTCTTCACTTATCCACGGATTGTAATTTTTACCAAGCTTCTGTAATTTGCTCATGATATCAGGATTTTTGTCTAAATTGTATATCCATTTTGAGCTTATCTTGGCATATGGTGTGAGATGTGGATATATGCTTAGTTTCTGCCAAACTGAGTTCCAATTTAGGGGCAGCTACCTGGCACAGTGGATAGAGCACTGGCCTTGGAGTCAGGAGGGCCTGACTTCAAATCCAGCCTCAGACACTTGACACTTACTAGCTGTGTGACCTTGGGCAAGTTACTTAACCCCATTGCCTAGCCAAAAAACCTTCCAAAACAAACAGAGTTCCATTTTCCCCAGCAGGTTTTGTTGAATAGTGATGTCTTGCCCCAATAGCTTGGATCTTCGGGTTTACCAAACACTACATTACTGTGATCATTTACTTCTATATATTATGTACCCAATCTGTTCCAGTGATCAATCACTCTATTTCTTACTCAGTACCAGATTGTTTTGATGATTATTACTTTGTAGTATAGTTTGAAATCTGATATTGCTAGGTCACTTTTTTTTCATTCATTTCTTAGACGTTTTTAACCTTCTGTTCCTCCAGAGAGATTTTGTTATTCTTTTTTCTAGCTCTATAAAATAATTCTTTGCTATTCTGATTGATATGGGACTGAATAAGTAAATCATCTTAGGTAGAATTGTCATTTTATTATATTGGCTCAGACTACCCATGAGTAAATGTTTTGTAATTAAGTTCACATGTGTCCTGCCAGGTAGACTCCTATGTATGTTTATATTGTCTGCATTTATTTTAAATGAGATTTCTCTTTCTTATCTCTTCCTGCTGTGATTTTGTTGGTACTATATAGAAGCACTGGTGATTTAAGTGAGTTTATTTTATATTCTGCAACTTTGCTAAAGTTGTTCGTTGTTTGGACTATTTTTTTAGTTTATTCTCTAGAGATCTCTAAATGTACCATCGTGTAAATGAATACTTTAGAAGAACCCCCAAGAGGAGTTGCATGGTACACAGTTAGTTTGAAGGTCACTATAAAACTTAAGTTTTTTTAGAGAAGGGGGTTGAAGATGTGTTGCCAAGAGACATGCTGTGTTCTGTTTGCCAAAGAGAATGCAGATTGGCAGGATATGTTTCTATATCTTTAAAAAAAAGTTTTGATTCTGTTTTTATATAGACTATAGGCATTTTCTGAGATACAAAATTCACTACCTACTTACTTCACTTGGTAATCTCATCAGCTACCATGTATTTAATTACCATCTCTATGCTGATGGCTCTCAAAACTACCTTTCCTACCCCAGTCTCTCTACTGACCTCCAATCTCATATCACCAACTGCCTTTCAGACATCTTAAACTGAACATTGTCTTTAACTACATTTAGTCAAACAATAGGTGGAAAGGTGCAGAGACTATAAGATCCCACTGTCCCTTTGTACTTTCTCTACTTTGTGTATAACCTGGAATTCTTGCCATTATCGTTATCTCGAATTCCATGGTTGTATTGCAGCATTGCTCTTTTGATTCTTTCTTCCCTCGGCATCTTTTTATATACATCTTCCATATTTCTGTTACTTTTTCATATTAATAGTTTTTTGACATAATATTATTTGATTAAATTAATGTAACATTTCCCAGACATTTTCCCATCTACATACTCCTAATTTGTTTTGTTTTACTTTTTTGCTTTTAAAAATGGTGCTTCTAAGAATATTTGTTAATAGGTAGGTCTTTTCTTACCTGTAATCACCTCCCTGAAGTATAGTGAGAGTAGAGAAAATACTGGGTCAAAGCATTTGTCTATTTTTGCAACTCCTACTTGCTTTTCTTTGTACTTGGCACAGAGTTGGTACTTAATAAATATTTAGTAACTTGCTCCTGTGATATACAGAAATACCTCAGAGATAGTGTAGGTTCAGTTCCAGACCAGACCACTACAATAAAGTAAATATTGCAATAAAGTAAGACACACTGTCAGGAAGTGAATAATCTGTTTCGTCATGAGTCCTTTGGAATTACGATTGGCTATTGGGTTGATCAGAGTTCTTGAATCTTTCAAAGTTGTTTGTTTTTACAGTATCATTGCTGTTTTAGAAATTGTTCTGTTTCTGCTCACTTCATTTTTGCATCAGTTATATATGTCTTCCTAGGTTTCTCTGAAACCATCTCCTTCATTACTTTTTTATGGAATGGTAGCGTCCTATTCCATTCATATGCATAATTTGTTGAGCTGTTCCCCACTCAACAGACACCCATGACGAGGATATTTGAAATAAAGGAATGGTGTGCTTTATGAGAAAGACGTCAGAAATGCCAGTGCTTGTGATCTCCAGGAGAAGTCAGGCTTATAGTGAAAGCTTGGGGGTAGTCATTCCTTTTAGACTAACTGGAGAAAAGTGAACCCCGAAAGAAGACATCAGATATGTCACTGACCTCTGAATCTCTGGTGATTATTCTGCTGAAGCAAAGAGCCAGAGGGCTTTCACTGAACTTGTCTACCAGGAGCATGGGGCAATTAGATAACTTCCTCTTTTCTCCATAAGGTTCTGAATGTGAAGTCCTGCAGAGTTCATCCCTAAAAAGACATTCGAGTACATCTGTGAAATACTAGCAGGCAATAGAAGCGAAGATTTCAAACCTGAGAGTGGCATTCACTTCTGCTTGGGAGTTTTAAAAGCTGACATTGTTAATTTTGTTATCACTGTGGTAAAGAGTAATAATAAGTAACATTTACACAGCATTTACTATGTGCCAGGCACTGTGTCAAGTGCTTTACAATTGTTATCTCATTTTATTCTCACAATGACCTTGCTATTATTATCCCCATTTTACAGATGAGGAAACTGAGGCAAACAGAGGTTAAGTGGCTTGCCCAGGATCGCACAGCTAGAAAGTGTCTGAGGCCACATTCGAACTCAGGTCTCCCTGACTCAAAGCCCTGGGCTCTCTTCATTATTGGTGTCATTAATAATTCCTCTTTAAGCATCTGTCTCTGTCTCTCTCTGTCTCTTTGTCTCTCTTTCTCTATAGAGAGATGATAGATATAGATATAGCAAAGAAGGAAAATGTTTGCTGACTGAAATGATTCCTTAGCTTTTTTGGTCTTCTTACTCTGATAATTAATTTACATTGGTTTAACTTCTAGATTGAAATATTATAGCCATTATTAAAGTCATATCTCTTGTCCATTTCCCATTTTTTCATTATTACCTTACTTAACTAATCAAAAGAGTTCCTTATCCTAACAAAAATCCCAAGTTCTTTGAGCATTCTCTAATAATTGTTTTCATTCCTTCACTATTCACCATGATTTCCCCTCCCCATTTTTTATTTAGGTAATTTATTTCTCCTTCCTCCTCATTACCTCTTTGACCTCTCAGCACCTTCAAGGCTCAACTCAAGCACAACTTCCTTCAAAAGGATTTTTCTGAATTCCCACAGTTGTTTGCCCACCCATCACTGTGTATTTATTT